ACTTTGATTGGTCCACTCACCCTTAGGTTTCAATCATGTTAGACGTTTGAGCGTTCGCTAAACAAATTTTACGTACATGAGCTACAAAATTATGATGAGAGAGGGCAAAAGAATGTACTTTGTTTTTTGTATACCCATTCACATTGACCGTATATACATAAAAAAGGGCAGGGCCGGTTTAACCCATACGCGAACTACGCGGTCGCATATGGCGCCACGAAAAAGTGGCGCCGTGGCGCCAACGGAACAATTTTTTTTACGTGAACAACGTAATTTTGTTTATTTTCGCTCAGAGTTCAAGTATACCACAATAAAGGCATTTATTCTGTTTGTACCAACAGCACTTGAAAAATGTGTATATTTGTACAGCACTACAACTCAAGGACTCAATGCCATTTGCAGTTTCGATTTTGTAGTGAGTTGACGCTCGGCAGTGTAAGGCGCCTGTGGGTTTCATTTCACGACTCTGTCACTTATGCTCGAGATGAAATAAGCAAGCGCGCAGCACCAATTGTCACAACAAGAAACTTCCCCCTCCCTTCCCTCCCTTCTGATTCTTATCGTAGAGCATAGCACTACGTTGTATTGTTCTCTTTTAGTGTATTAGCGTGTATCGGTATCGTAATGGCGTTGTTTTGATGATGCATTATTGTTGATAAGTGAATGATTACGAGTGTTTTAAGTTTAATTTATAATTAGCGCATTAAATAAGAAGAAAGTATAAACTGAATAAATGAGTAAAACATCTAGCGAGCCGATACTAAGAAAATAATGGCAGAAAAAAAGAAAACGTCAGACACTTATTATAAAAAGGGTAAGGCGAATTTGGAAGAGGCTGATAAAAAAACAAGCCAAATCAATGAGTAAATTTTTGTTTAAATCATCCGGTGGCGAGTCCAGTCAGCCCAAAGAAGTCACGATAGAAGACGGCAATGACGTAGGTATTTATTTATTTATTTTCCAAGGAAAGATTAAAACAAGCAGCTGATCACAAACGGTAAACATTACGTCATGTCGTCTTCTATCGTGACGTCATGCTTGACGAGCATTACGGATTACGGCCTGTTTTTTTTAGTGTGGCCTTGGTTTTGCTTAAGTTTATATGATGAGTAAAAGTGTAAAAATGTTAAATTTATGCGAATAATAAACAGTCTTTTATTGCAAGTATTCTTCTAACCTAAACTTATAAAAAAGTTCTTACCAAAATTATTGGGAAAAAATTCACAAATACGGTTATGTTATGTTATTGGTTTGTGGGGGGGGGGGGAATCCTAAGTGGCGCTGATTCGGGTGTTCGCTTAGCTCTGAAAAATTCCTAGAACCGGCCCTGAAAAAGGGTGTAGCAGAACAGTCCGAGTAGTTTGACTGTTGTGGTTAGTTGTTCAGGGGAAGGACGGGGAAGGCAGTCACTATTGGTCTTGTTCTTTTCGGCTGGTTGTACCATTAAATCATCCTCTTGGTTTAGCATGATTGTGACCATGAGACAAGTCCAAAAATACAAGTACGTGATTGTGATGCTTACGAAAACACGTTCCTAGTGTGAACACAATATGATTGTGGGTTACAAATTGAGAAGAAAGTAGTAGAACGCTTACAGCTATGAGACACGGATAACTTAGATTGACGACTTATTATTTTGGAAATATGGAAACACAAAATATGCTGTCTGGTCCAAACCATGATGCGGACTGAAATATGAGTAGACAAAGAGAACAAGACTAATTGTGTTCGCCCTTCATGTCGGAGATCTAAGCGAGTTAAACTATTCAGTCCGTTCTGCCGCACCCTGTGTAAGGGCATTTTAAATATACTTTTAAAAACAGTAGTACTAAATACTTTATTGTCTTAGGAATAGGTAGTCTCCGTCCATTAGTGTATTTAGGAACTAGCCGGTACTGTTCCTGTATCTATATTATATCCATTCATATATATATACATAAAACTTACATCATCTAATATCTATCTATATTCTATACCTATTTTTATCCGTTTTATATTCATCTATTTGTATTGAAATGGTATACGCTAAAAGATTTGTGATAGGGAGCCCCACAAAAACTTAAATTGTCCCATCACTACCAGTATCTGTCAATCAATGTTACAGCTGTGGTGCAAGAAATTGTATTGACCCCTCAAAATAGTGATATTTGAAAATGGATATTTGTAAGAAGATTGTGTCTAATTTGTTTTTGGGGATCCTAAAAGAAGAATAGTTAGGTGTTAAGTTTTATAGAATATTTTAGCTATTGTTCAAATGTTACTATGATAAAAACAAAAAAATACACAAAAAAACAAATAAAATTTGTAAAAACACAAAAAAACAAATAAAATTTATAAAATCCATTTGTCTTTATTCATTACCTACTTACACATCATGGCATATCACTAGTTGTTTACAGTATTTTACTGTAAATAATGATAAAATACTATTCAAATAAATAAATAAAATAATGAAATGTTCAATTCTAAAAGCTACCTTGTATTGAAACGATTTTAGTAGCATATCTCAATAAATTTGTCTTATAATTAACAATAACTGAAGAAAAATCCCCAAAAATAGAAGGGGGTCGGTTTAAGTTTTTTAGCCTTTTTTTCATGAAAAGATCAACTTACTAATTTACCTATCTCGGTAATCCATGTAACTTACGAACTTTTTTGTAAAATAAGAATCAATAATGCATAAAATGTTGTAGTTTTCATTAATTAAAATCAATGTTTTGACAGCAGGTCTTAATATTGGAAATTTAATGTTAGGCACTTGTCATGAAACAAAGACAAAATTATTTCTTAAAAGTCGTCCTCGACACAATTAAGACTCCTGAGAGAAAGGTAAATCACCTTCAGATCAAAACTCAGTCCTTTTCAGATAGGAGGCTGTTCACAATTATGGTTTTTGAAACTGCCAACGGTTTTCTCCTTGAGAAACATTGATTAATAAGTATGGGTATCCACCATACCCATACCTATTAAGAGACCCATACCCATACCTATTACTTATTAAGAGAAGCAGGTAAGATCTTTCCTTTTCCTCTTTATTAGTGTATTTTTGCACTAGGTAGAGCTATGAAGGAAAAAAAACAAAATCGGAAACCAAGAAAGAGGGGTTAGGATAAGAGCCGCTTTTACTCTTGTAGTTTTAGTCTATTTAGTAAGACATCAATGTCACAAGCATCAGTGATATATCCAGCAGCAGGCTAAACCATAGACAAACTCACACATAACTTGTGTATTGGCTTCCCATGAATTTCCAACAAAATTATTTACATGTTTATTTATATTCATAGTAACTCGAACCATTTGTCACAAGATTAACAGTACAGTTCGGCCAAAACTCTGTGCGCGGGGACATGTAGCAACTTGCCCAACTAAAACATACGGGTACCGGTTATTGGTAGTCCTGGGGTACGGGTGAGTGAGTTGCAAGACACAAATGTTTTCGCAAAAGTACACCCGCCAACCCCTTCGCCTAGACCCGACCAGATCTGGTTGCACGCACAGAAACTTTGGCCGAACTATACCACTAACTACAGTTTAGAGATGTTATATTCCGTTTTCAGAATTGCGTAATTGATTATGGAAATAAGTAAGACGCTGACCGTTCTTGTATGATTGTGGATTAGTCCTTAGAATGCATTGATGCTACCATAGGCGTGTAATTCGGGGGTAGCAATGGGTGGCGGTTGCCACCCCCCCCCCCCCCCAGAATTGTGGAGCCCAGTATTTCGCCACCCCAGAATTTGGAAGTAAAAGTCTTAAGAATTTACAAATGTTTAAAACTGAAAAGTCTATCCACAGAGAACTTTCAAACTTTATCGATTCTCCATTAATCATGCTAAGTTTGGCACAGAAAGATAGAATGTCTTTTGAAAACTTGAAAATCATAAACTTAGAAAGAAGTATTGGTGTAGTAGAATACTACATTTACGTAACGAAATAAGGAACATTAAATGTGTGAAGGGGGAGAATGAGCAAAAAGGAAAGGAGTGTTGAAGTTATCATTTCCAAAGTTATTGATGACTTTAATTCAAGCCAGAAGAGAAGGCTTCATTTTATGTAAAAGTAACTTGTGGATGCACTATGATAACATTGAGTAAAAATGAAATTTTGTTTTATCGTGTTTATTTGATTTTTCCTTTTATAAAATAATAACCGGCTGGGCACACATAAATTAAAATTAGGCACACTTTACCCCCCCTTGGCTGTGACATCAGTTTTGATCTGGGGGTAAAATTCCAATACATTGTGTATTCCAATTCATAGTATTAGATTCTCTTAAGAATTTGTTTCTCAAGTTACGAATATATTATTATTGTGGGATATCAAGACACTAGTTAAATTAATAGCCTACATATGTCTATTAGATTGATACAACAAAAATTACAAATTTATCACAAAAATTTATTTATTTAATGAGCGGTCTTGCACTATACCTTTTAAAATGACAATGTAATTCTTTATTGAGGGAAGCTCCCGGACTTGGGCATAGGCTCGTATAGTTAGCCGCAAGTGGGGCATGCACAATAAGCTTCGGTTGACATGCTAGGACTTTGAGTCCGCCTCTCCTCAGTGCAATATGCTGTATCTTGTCACTGAGTTATGTTTTTATCATTGCTACGAAGGATAGGACTGTCAATATATCTTCGTGTTTAATTAGTTCTCCATAATATGTTGCAAACTGTCCTTTTGTAGAACTGACAGCAAACATCGGATGAACCCAATATTGATTTCTCTTTCACTTAATGAGCCTGAGATAAAATTGCTAAGTCTTCAACTTCAATGTACATCTCCAGATTGAAGATTGGCATACATTCAAAGTCATGGGGGTGTTATTCCCTGACTGCAAGGTGTACAACAACGAGCAGTGGAAGTTTTGTCCTGGTTGTGGTCAGGCTAGTGTGCTATTGCTGTTTGTGTCTTGAGCCCCTTAGGATTGTGTAATGTAGTTTGAGAGTCCCTGGCGTAGAGCAACACTTGGTATTCAGACAACATAAAAATGCCATAAAATTATTTATTTGTTTCAACATGAATACATTTAGGGTCAGTTGATATGATATACAATCGAAAGCCTCACAGTATCAACAAAATATTCACATCTATTTGGAGAAACATTTAGTTTTCCTACATGTAAATGGGCAGTATTGCTTACGTTTGTGTACTTTTGTATCAAGCACAATTGAAACACGTACAATATTTAATTAAATCCCAAACTGAGCACAAACATAAGAACAAAATTTCAGGCGAATATTTATAGAATTTGTTACCATGTTTTATTTTAGCCCTCTAAAACATCTTGACACATTCGGTCACATCCAAATAATACATAACAACAATCCTTTTTAGGCCATTGGTTGATAAGAAAACCGACCTACAAAAGGGTTCTGTCTGGAAAACTTCATACCACCTACACAAAGTATTATTTACAGTTATTTATATATGTATAGATTTAATTACTACATGTATTTATAAAAATGGATACACTGTCATAAAATACAATTTCACACTGAATGGGAACTGTTATCCATACAAATCAACATCAACAATATATTACACACAGATAGAGAATCACAGGGCTGACTGAAAACACAAAATATACATGGTTAAAAAATCCCTTGACAAGATGAATGTGCTGGTTAAAATTCAAGAAGTAATTCAAAAGTTAAAAATGTGATGTTGACAGTAAAAATAAGAAAAATAATTATTGAATGTGGTTAAAACGACGTACTGGCATAACACTATTTTAAAATTATCAAGATTATTTACATATTAGAAATAAAACATCGACACAGGTAACGAATGTTATAATGAGTGTGAGTGGAAGTAAACTCATAAATACTTTGACCCCTTGCCTCTTTAAAATTAATGTTTCAACCGCTAAATAAACAGGTTATAGCTGTTTGGTACAGATCTCTAAGCTTAAACCCATGAATACCATGGTTGTAACAAAACAGTGATACTCATCAGGAAAAAAACTCGTTCTCTTGAGTCTGGCAAAATATTAACAAACCAGTTCACACTTTACTGGCATTATAGAAAAAAAACCTAACAAGGCTGAAAATAATGATACCAACCTTGCCACATTACAGCGGGTTTGTTATTGTATTTAGTGTGGTTAACTGCATACAGTTTTAATGGTATATAGTTCTATAAAATGTAGGAAACTAAACATGGATGGACAGTATTTGTTTGAAAATGAACTGAATGTCACAGCTTAGTAGTACATTGTGGAATGCTATGTTAATGCTCTATGAATTTCTCACAACCAAGATGGTTGAAGTATTTATTACCGATAACTTAGCTTAGTAAACTAACAAAATTGCATGTCAAATCAAAGGAACTTTGAAATGCCCATATCCTAGAGCATGAGGACCTTAATGCTATGTTAAGCAAAGACTTAGTAGTATCCTGTTGATTATTTCTCCAGCTTTATTTTTTAAATACAGTTTTTATTTAGAAAAAATTAAAATTTCTGAAAGGTACACATGTTGAAAATGGTTAGTTTGTATGTACGATATAATAAAAATTCATATTTAATTAAATATTATAAACTATTGGGAATGAGCATAAAATTTTAAAGTTCTTTTTGTTAAGTGAAACAATTTTGAATGTTGCAAACGTTTTTAATTTTCTTCAAATGGAATCAAATTTCTTAGAAGGTAAAAATGTATTTAAAAATGACTAAAACATTTTTTTTTTTACTTCTATTAGTTAAGCATTACATTCACGTTATTAGGCCCTTTAAAAGGAAGCAAATTTACTGTAAGTAAATTACATATCTCAAACTTATTAATTTACAATCCCAACATTTTTCAATTAATAGAATACAATTTTGTGATCCGGATTTGAAAAATATTTATAGGCATTAAAATCTTTAAGACATCTTCAGTGAACTGTATAACAAACTGAAACAATACAATATACCACTAAAACTTGTGCTAAAATGTATCTTTATAAAACGTTTTCTTTTCATGTATGCCACAAAAAGGTTTGCAATTAAATGAAGTAAACAAAAGGAAGGAAGTACAATGGAAGATTGTATAGCAAAATTGTCAGCTTGTCAGGAAATATCAGCAAAATCACAATCATCGCTTGTAAATAAAACACTTGGTTACATTAATATTTCAAGCACTTTAGTTTATCAGGTTTTTTATCGTTATTGTCTAAAATAGAGTCATGAACAAATTAATAAAAATGTACAACTATTAAGACTTGAAATTCTTTGTTACTGTTGTTTTAGGTTTAAGTGGTAATTAATCTTTGGAAAAACTCACTCTTAAAATGCAATGAATTATTAGGTATTTGAACTCCTGGAATTTGAAAAATAAATATCCTAGAACTTTCATGTATACAAAATTGACTGAGATCCTGAAATTTAAAATCTGTGAATTAACAAACTTTCCTGGTGTACTATTTTTTGTATTAATATTTATAAAAATATTTTATGGAAGTCCTGAAAATTGTATAGGCTAAAAATAAATATAAAGCCCTAAAAGTTTTAAGCTCTGGAGCCCAGCCCAGGGTAGGGTTAGTTAGCAGTAGATCTAAGAACACAACATTAACTAACTGTAGAACTGCCAATAAGAGAGAGAAAGGGTCTGTCTAAATTAAACATTTCCAAAATTAATACCTTTACCTTAAACCCTACTAGTTAACACTTGAACATTACGGATATCCTGACAAAACCTTCTACGATAAGCTCTGTTTTAAACCTGAACCAAGCTCTACAGTATATTGTAGGTCTCATCTCAAACAAATTTTTAAGCCTAGGCTAATCTTAAAAATAAGTTAATACTAATTTTACCTGGAGAAACCCCAGTTAAAATATGGTTATGAAAACCAAGATATTACAATAAAATAACAAAAATAAGTGATATGGTAAGTTTTAATTGTAGTTTTTGTGCTACTTTACAATCATACAACATTGAACACAAATAGAATATTTATTAAAATAAATGCTTAACACAATGATACACTGAAGCTACAACAAAGAAATGTATCTAAAATAGTACTTTATGCAAAATAGTTACAGTATTATGTAGCTATTCCAGTTTTAAACTGGGCCATGATTTTGTACTTTTAACGAGTAACAGGAAAATTCTTAAACCAAGGATATTTCACTTAAAGTGAGTAACTAAAAAGAGTGTTTAGAACAGAATACAGCTAAAGCTAAAATAAAATATTGTTGAAATGTAATCAGTACATTTTTAAAAAGTACTATTAAAATTAATTATTTTTTCATAATACTACAAACTATTGGGTATTATTAAGGAATGTAAATATATCTGATCTACACACATCAACGATGCAGAAAGTCCAAATGAAGCACAGGTTAAAATATAACTTTCAGCACTAACACTAAATTTTAAAGTAGGCTAGTTGTAATCCTAATTACAGATGCCAATATTGAAACTTAGACCTTTAAAAATAACATAAAAATTCTACTAATTTATTAATTTAGGAACGATAATATGTAGTTTCTAAGTTTACCAAATAGCCTAGTATTAAATAACATGATGGTCACAAGCATATTGCAAAGATGAGGGTTAAAACTCTAGGATAGTTTTAAAATTGTACTTCTGGTTTCATCAGGGGGAGAGCAGCAACTGTTTAAAAAAATAAACATAGCAGCCAACAGCATAATGTTTAGAACACTTGCGTAAGTAACTATTACAACTTTCACAGGTATATTTAAAAAATAATGAAGAAAACTCAACTACCATTAACTATCTAACTAAGTTTTAACATAAATAAAACCATGCTGGTTCTTAAAATGTCATTTCACTACCAGGTTATGTTGTTTCAAGAATATTATTATGAGGTCCCAAAAGCAGAGAAGTCCGATTCAAAATGCATGCAAAACTGAAAATCTAAATTTAGTACTAAGGGAGAAATCTACACCATAAAACTGTTGAGCAAAGGACCTCAAGGGTAGAATTGAGCTGGTAAAAATTTACAAAACGTGGTCCGTGCTCTGTATTGAACATTCAATACTTAACAACGCGATGTATTTATATATTACTTAAAACTAGAGCCTATACAGTTTTATGGCTTTCTCTTCTTTCCATAGATGTAACCACAATGAAAATAAAGCAAATAAAACAATCACTATACAAATACACAGGGGGCTATACAGTTGGAGTAATGCCAGTCAGAAGGTGCTAACAGCATTTTTGTCTCTTACTGGTTTTCGGCTTCCGTAGATTAACTGTATCACTATTCTGTCCGGCTTGTCGCTCCTTCCTTTCCTTCTTTGTGTGCAGGACTTGACGAGTGATTGCCATGAACATCTGAAAAGTCCAGAAATAAGTCAATAACTAACTGAGAGCCTTAAACTCAATTATTATAACCTAAAATAGTTTTTAAATTGCTATAGAAATAAAACCACCCTATTTATATTTATATTCTTTATTCAAATTGTTTTACAAAGGTGGTACAGTAGTAAATAATAACAGTTATGAATCAACCTAATGTTAAAATACTCGTCAGACGTGATTGATTTGATTTGTTATCCTTTTTTCCACTAAGAGGTAGTTTTGAATTTAGTACTTTACTTTAAACTATTAATGCACCTAGACATTCCATAATCAAAATCGTCGTAGTTGATGTGAGCCACCGACAGATTGTGCTGATCTAAATTACTGATTTCTGTTTAATAAAAGAACTTTTTTATCAAGTCAAACTGGTGGAACGACTTATTGTAAGCAAAAGCAACTATTATGAACCATCAACTATGTCAGCAGAACTCTTGAAAGTTGAAAGTACTACGAGTTAAATAGTAGTTTGCCCTAAAGATGGATAGCTGCTCCATGCGAAACATCGGCCTCTAGTTTCACTCTTTCAACAATGCGAGAATACTATTCTTTAGGTCTTTAGGGTCATCACCCAAAGACCTAGATTTGACAATAGCACCTACTCTTCAACTATCCGAATTTTACAATACTCTTGAGGAAGGCTCAGTCCCAAGTACTCGGAAAATTGATTCAATGGACGAAAGATATATAGCTATATTAAATTTGGTCCCTAGTATTTGTAAAGATTCAAAGTTTGTCTTTTACTTCGTAGATTAATCTGCCTTATAGGATTAACACGTTCGTTACCGCAATAGTAACTAGAATTGCTTGCGATCACGTTTCATGGTTTTTGATAATAATATAATAATAAAATAATAATAATAATAATATAATACAAAATACTATTTCATCAATTTAACCTATCAGTTTCGCTGAGAACTATCAAAATCTATAACAAGTTTCATTAGTAAAGATGTGGACATTACAAACATCCTTTGTATGGGTATTTTTCCTGTTAATGCTTGCCAATGTCATCTGGTGAACCCACCATTCTGGTTGAACCGAAACCAATCGACATTTTCTCAATCTTGACCAGATTTTACAGTTCAGGCAGAAATAATCCTGCATGGATCCGTGCGATTAGCAGATGTAACTTTTTAAAGACCAGCACACTGCTTTGAGAGAATTGCACAAATAGTGGTCACCATACCTTATGTTTGCTTTTTTTATTAAATTTTTTACATTTCACATAATTATGAAAAGCATTGTTTTCAAGCAAGTGTACATTCAACTATCTAAAAAAAATTCCAGAAGTAGTTGTTCATGCGTTTCGGGCGTTTATTGCTCGTCTTCATTTTCTACAAATATCAGGCAGTTTTTGAGAATGCATTCTGAAATTTTTCTTAATATGACTGCTCACCTTTACTACTTCCTTTGCCACTTTCTACGTCGTGGACCCGTTTAAGTTTGCCATTTATAAGATGAGTCCATGTTATTTGTTATAACCTTATTTAACTACGTAAATCAAATCTGTAAAATTCTGTACCTATTCAATCAGTGGTTGTTTCTAAATTGCGACTTAAATGTATACTTAAGACTTTCTCTGTATTATTAGTGGTCAGTGGTCGTCACCAGAATTTTTTCCTTTGTACTGTGTTTAGGTCGTGGCTTAATTTTAACATATGCTACGATTATTTGTTTTGCTTACATTTAAGTTGTTATTTTGTAACCATCATGGCAACCCATAAGGCCAATGTATAAATTTTAAAACTTTCAGTAACTTTTAAATTATATAGGCATTATGAAAAATGTAAATTGGTTTAGTTTAAACCTTCCAAACATTTGACTAAACAACCTTGGTAAGTTCATGGCTAAAATATGTTCAGCCGTTATTGAGTTAATGTGTTATAAAGTTTGCATTGAAGTCAATCTCAAAGAGCTCCGCTTTCTCTCCGCTCAATAAAATTTTAATTCATATGGACCAGCGACGTACATATGCGACAGTCGGTTTCTACCCATGGACTTCCGTCACAGAAATGCGACGGCTGGTCATCTACAGAGATGTCTGTCGCACATGTGCATCACTTGGTCTGTGGATATGATAATTAGTCATATGATAGTAATTGGCAAAACTGATTTTGCTTTGCTGCATCACGGGCCGGCAGTCTGTGTGTATTGCTAACCAAGTGACACCCGGTCTAGATGTGTAATATTAAAATGTACACCTCAGTCCGTGGCAATGATTGCAGTGTTGTATATATGTGGCGATCGGTGGCGAAAGTTTTAATGATCTCCTATACCTACTGTAGCCAAAGAGCAAATAGTCAGCTTTCCTGCGATTCCAACAATCCTGTAGCTTAATTTCTACTAATTGGATACTAGGCAATTTGAGATTCACACAATGCAAGTAATTTCAGATTCCCAGACCAGTCATAAAACCTCCACGGCCAGAATGTGATTTGTTTTTATTCTTGTCTTAAAACACTTGAGGTATCAGCATGAACCTCTTCAATTGATTATTACAGGACTAAAAGAGCTATATATTCTAACCACACCATGCTTAAGACAAGTGCCTTGGGAGCTGCTTGGTTTGTCATTCATCTTGAACAAAATTATCTCCAAATCACTTGTCACTCTTGCCCTACATTTTGCTGTGTCGTCAACCAATACAGGACACTGTAACTAACTACAGGGTGACCGAAAAGTCCCTTTACACTAAGGTAAATTAAATTTTTGTTTATTAAACCCATAGAAATCTATTTTAACCAGAAATTGTGGACAACACCAAGTGAACATCATTTTTAGTCCAAAACATCGGCATGCATACCTCCATTGTCTCGGCAAAGCTTGAATCGACTCCAAGTTTGTTAGCTAATTTGTTTCATCATTTCTGGGGTGACTCGTGCAAAGGCCGCCCTAACTCTCTACTGGGTGTCGACACGTTCTAGGGCTGTGGCAGTGGTTGGGAAGGGAGAGTGAGGCTTCATTCTCTCCCCCGATGTTGCCTTACTACTCACGTACGAATATTTGCTGATAAATCGTGTTTATAACAGTGTAATACGTACTGCAATATTGTGTAAAGGGACTTTTCCGCCACCCTGTATATAGGAGCAAATCTGTTGGGTGCTGCTATAATATATGAGCAGAACTGAACAAAGTGCTCAATGTAGTTAGGTGAAGGGTAGATGAGTAAATTTTAATTTTGGCTCAATGACCCTTTTGACTTACCTCTTCTACATTGATATTTTCCTTGGCACTGGTCTCAAACAGTTGGATTCTCATCTGATCAGCAAATCGCTGCGCATCCTCCGTCAAAACCACTTTCCTGTCTGGCGCATCGTTCTTGTTTCCAACTGGAATAAAAAATTATTAGTTAGAGGGATATTACTCTTCAAAATAACAGGATATTTTCATGTTGTAGCTTAACTTTTAAATGCTAGAGGGATATTTTTTAAGTAAGAGCCGTTTTTGCGTAGAACTCTGTAGATCGAATGTACTAAACAACGAGGCTCCTTGCCGCTTTCTGGCATTATTTGTGAACGTAATGAATAAGAATAAGAATAAGAATGTTTTATTGCCGTTACACTGGTTTACATGCAAGGCACAGTCAAGGAAATGTCTTAGAACTAAAGGTTTTACCTTAGGTTTAATTTAACATCATTTATGAAGTCTATTTCTCTATATGGACACAGATTTAACAGGTAGTTTTTAAGTACTATTTTAAATTTAAAACAATTAAAACATCTTATTCTATTAGGTAACATATTATAATACTGTTTGGATTTTTCAATAAAACTAGTAGCTGTGGCGCTGTATCGACACTGTCTAGATATAAAATTGCAGCGGTTTCGTGTGTTGTAACTGTGTACATTTTCATGTGTGTCTGATTTACTAAAACTATTTTTTGCAAACACAAAGCAGTCTAAAATATACATTGCTTGTACAGTTAAAATATTAGCCTCCCTAAATAATGGTTTACAGTGTGTACTAAAATCAACATTGTACACGATTTTTATTGCTCGTTTTTGCAATGACAAAAGTTTTTTTTTTATAATTACTACCTCACCATACAATTGTTCCATAACTTAGATGGGAATGTATATGTGCATAGTAAATGCATTTCAAGGTATTAAAATCTACACTGTTCTTAAGCATGTTTATTATAAATATTCCTTTGTTAAGTTTTTTAGCTGTATAATCAATATGAAACCGTTTGCAGCTCTGTTGCTGCGTGTACATTTTGCTGTGTGCTTAAAAATTTTTTAGGATTATGACAGAGAAGTAAGATACAGAGGGTACATTGAATGGTACACTTAAGTGGTGTCTAGCACCAGTCCCTAAAATATCTAGAGCAAATTATATTCATCATCCCATTCTGCTCTTCCTCCCTCCCTCGCCATCAAATACTACAGCGTTCACATTGTAGGATCACCCTGTGTGCTACAACTACTGTTAAAAAATGGTGTGGCCATCGCAGTTCTGGCTATTCCTTGCTCACAAGTACATTTCCTTTCCGCCCCACCATACCAGAGCTAAAGGCGCACGATTGTCCCATAAGCTTGAATCCTCAGGATCTCACTTCTCTGTGGAATTATTGAATATCCCGCCACGTATGAGGTATAGCGCAAGGTGTAGAAATTGGCTGGTGATTTTTTAAATGGCCATGAAAATGTTCATTTTGAAAGGAGTTATATTTTTGATGGGTAACTAGACTTCTCACAAAAGACTACAAAGTAAACAGTTTTTCACAGCTATTCGTATGCTCCATAACCCATTTCCGCAGTTAACCCTCGCTTATGTATATACAGTAGAACCTCGCTAATTCGAACCTTGATAATTCAAAATCCTCTATAATTAGAAATGTTTGTCTATTACCCTCAGAAAACCTCCAAAATTAGAAAAATAATATACCGATAATTCAAAGTGATCTTTACGCTTTAGGCAGCCTCTATAATTTGAATTTGCACATACCCAAGCCTCTACAATTTGAATTTATTGCCGTAATTCAAAGTGTTACCCACAATTCGAAGTCAACCTCTACAATTCGAACTGTGTTACCTTAAGCCTCTGCAATTCGAATAACCGACAAAAGATTATCCTGTTGAAACATGAACTGACGCTCTTATTGATCTTCCCACAGTTAGCTCATCAGTCTCCAATCGTTTTATATGCAACGTAGACGTCTCTAACTGTCAGTCTCAGATTTTGTTAGGCCTAATTGATTGTTAGTTGATGAGTATTAGTGCAGTGAGCAAGAATGAGTGCTAAGAAGTACAAATCCTTAACCTTGGCAGAAAAACTTAAAATAATTGATGAAGTGAACAGTGGTGGAAAACGTAAAAAGGATATAGCTGAAGAGTATGGTATCCCCGCCAGCACATTATCTACGATCCTTAAACAAGAGGAACTAGATAGGCAACGAATGGAGGCAGGTAATTTTTAAACAATAAGAGAGTAAATCCGAATTTCCTGAAGTGGAGGAATGCCTGATAAAATGGTTTAAACAATGTAGGGACCATAACGTAAGTGTAAGGGGGCCAATCCTCAAAGAAAAAGCTGAAGGTTTTGCCAAATCATTAGGCCATGATAATTTTCAAGCAAGTAATGGTTGGTTGGAGAAATTCAAACAAAGAAATGACATTGTTTTTCGTAAGGTGTGTGGAGAGAGTGCAAGCTTTGATGACAATGTATGTAAAAACTGGAAAGAGGAACTAAAAACAATATGGAAAGACTATGATCCTAAAAACATATTTAATGCTGATGAAACGGCCTTGTACTACCAATGTCTTCCCGATAAAACTTTAAGTAACTTTCAAAAACGAAAAATGTCATAGTGGTAATAACAGTAAAGTTCGAGCAACACTTTTGCTAGCGAGTAATATGACAGGAACCCTAGCGAGTAATATGACAGGAACAGAAAAGTTAAAGCCGTTTACGATCGGTAATTACAAAAATCAAGAGGTTTTCTTGGTGTTAAGTCATTTCCTTTTGAATATGACGCAAATCCAAAAGCATGGATGAATAGTTACCTTTTTGGGCAATGGTTGCTTAAGCTAGACAAACAAATGAGAAATGAAAAACGTTAATTCTTTTATTCATTGACAACTGTACTGCACATAACGACATCCCAAAGCTTGACGCAATCAAAGTTCAGTTCCTTCCTGCCAACACAACGTCAAAACTTCAACCACTGGACCAGGGAATTATAAAAAATGTCAAGACTCTCTACAGGAAAGAAGTTGTAAGACATATTTTATCAAATATCGAAGAAGAGAAAGCCATCGTTCCAATCAATATCCTACAAGCGATGAGAATGGCAAACAAATCATGGGAAAATGTAACCCAAGAAACAATTGCTAATTGTTTTAAAACGTGTGGATTTGTAAATGGAGAAACTGAACCAGACATTGTCACAGTTACACCAAATCCTGTTGAAGATCTAATCGAGAGCGAATGGAATACCGTAATGACTCACTGTAATGTAAATGAATAAAATGTTTTTGTGAAATCAAAAATTGAAAGCAATTTGACCCCCGACAGCCACTCTTGAATTTTTGACTGATTAGGCCACTTTCAAGCTAAAAAACACTATTGCAAACTAAACTCCTGACACTAATGAAACAAGAACGAGATTATTACTTTCTTTAAACCTATAAAAACATCCACAACATTTGAAGATTTCGTTGAAGTCGACAACGATGTAGCAGTCGCCGGAACGTTGACAGAAGACGAGATAGTGGCGGCATTGGCCGACAGGGACGAGGCAGAAGTATTTTCAAGGCAGTCAGAAGTTAATTTGCGATAAAGAGCTGAAAGAACGTGTTACCTCATGGTTGACTACACATGCGACAACATTCTACAAGGAGGGTATTTACTCAAACTTGTACCAAGGTATGATAAATACCTCTAAAATCACGGGAGTTATGTTGAAAAGAGTTGTAGATTTTATTTAATAAATTTGTTTCCTGTATCTGTACTCGTTATTCTTTTATTTTAAAACGAAACTTACTTTCCGTACCTACCTCGTAGAGTGAAGGTTTATAATAGTTTTGGAAAATAGATGGACTTGACTAGAATAGCTGTGATTTCATTTGATTTCCTATTTTTAAAACACATTTTAATAGTATATTATGCAACAAGGTTGGGAAGTAGGTGTTTACGGTTGAAGCATGATATGCAGGATTCCATATGAGTGTGGTAAACACCTTCCCGGAGAGTTGTATTGTATTCCTTCTTCCTTTACTTATTCGCTAAGAGCTTTGTCGCCCAAAAAAAAATAAAACGTTTAGCATTTTTACTATGGTGAGAAAAATCTGGTATGCTTACATTTACAGGGTGTCTACTAAATCTAGTTTGAAAAATTCAAGGAGTTTTCCATGAGAATTCAAGACAAATTCCTGAATTTTAAGAACTACTATCGGAACCCTGGAACTTTAAGCTAGGCTATATCGCGCCTTTTGATAGAAAAAAAAAAATCAATTTTTTTTAAGAAATCATCATTTTAGTCACATGCATTTAACTAATGTATTTAAAAAAATTTAGGTCTACTTCAGAAATAGTAAATAGAAATTGTATTAGGCCTAACTTATTTACTTTTTTTAATTGGTAGGCACTATAACATTGAAACAAAACTTTTCCAAGGAATAATAATATTTAAAACATTATACAACATATTAAACATATATACAACATATTAAAACGGTATTACTGGTAGGTAAAGCGACACTAGTTATCGTCTCCCGCAATCGCAGCAATACCTGTGACCCCGGTCACAAAAACCTTTTGCGGTTTCTGCGACCCCGATAATCATCTCGCCGCGATCACGGCAATACCCGTTAGCATATTTTGCGGTTTTGGCGAAACTGATAATCGTTTCCCGTGATCGCAGCAATAACCGTTGAGCATATTTTGCAGTTTCGTTTCCCACGATCACGGCAACACCCGTGAGCATATTTTGTGGTTTCGGGGATACCGATGATTGTTTCCTGCGATCCTGGCAACACCAGCGGTGGGCTTTTGATTAAACATCGTTTCTGATGGCCAGGCTTCGGATTCCCAGAGGTTTGGGTCAATTCCTGGAGTTTTCTAGGATATTTCAAGGTAAGATCAAATTCCCGAAGGTTTCCTGGTTTTCCCGAATTTCCCGGAGGGTAGACAGCATGAATATCAATAATATGTCCTACCTAATATCCTGTTCACAACTTCACAGTTTTGTTCTATTTCGTGAAGCCATCGCTTGACGTTGGCAAAAGATTCACCACTGGTCACATCATAAACCACAATCACTCCATGGGTTCCTCTGTAGTACCTGCGATATAACAGAAAACACTTACAAATTTGATATTGCATAGTAATAAAATAATAAAGGATTGTTTTTTGAGAGATTGTTACGGGAATTTTCTATTAGGGTTATTAAAAATAAGTTTTCATGACATTAACTCAGGTGTGAAAGTACCTTAAACATAACTGGATCAGTGCACAAACTCAGCCAAAACAGGGAAATCACAAAAGAAACACAACATAGAGAACTGTATAGTCCGGTATTCAAAACAAGAAAAATTCACAAATTTTTCATAGCCATTACAAACATTTTGTACAGTTTGCAAGGTTTCCTGGTTGGCTGGACAATAAAATGTCAACAATTGCTCAAAATCTTTGGGGTAAACAGCAAATGTGTAATTAATGATTTGGATTAGTCTGAGGACAGTACATTTAGAATTTTACACTTAATCTATGCCCAAAATGGGTATATACCGGTAGGCAAAAATAGCCTACCTAATTAGACTTAATTTCCCATTGACAATTTCACATTTTCGTTCTACCACAAACCAAATGGACAAAAATGTTGAAGGAACTGATTTAACTTACGTAGATGTTATCGTGCGAAACCTCTCCTGCCCAGCTGTGTCCCAGATTTGCAGTTTGACTTTTTCTCCGTCAACCTCCACAGTTCGGATCTTGAAGTCTACACCAATGGTAGTTATGTAGTTGCCGGAGAATGTGTTATCTGCAAACCTCACTAGCAGGGAACTCTTCCCGACATCTGCAAGAAGATCTTGATTTAAAATTAATTCAACTATATGTAGGCTACTAATCACCAAGAAAGAGCCCTTTTTCAACAACTAAAAGCACCCTTGACTTAGTATTAATTTTTAACAAGATTTACTAAAATGTCGTCATTAAAATCTACGTCATCAAAAACTTACTTGATTAGGTCCTAGAGAAATCCAGTTTTGAAAGATTAATTTTGTTCTATTAATTCAGCAGAGGCCAAAAAGCAGGACGTGTTTCTTGATACGGCTGCCTGTTTGATTTGGTGACGCACACACAGAAAACCAAGAAATTTTGGGTTAACCTTCTCTTAAGGCGAGAACGAGATATAGTGGAAGTGACATGTTGCTAGATTTAAAAGACGATGACATGGATCCTTTGTCGAGTGAGTTAAGGTGTGACAGGAGCTTCAAGAATTTCCTAAGAATGGCTAGTTTTGACTAAATATTTTATTCAAATGATAGGTCACCAAATTTTTAAAAAGGACACCAGCTATCGGAAAGCAATACCAGTTAAGAGTCTACATCACCCTGCGTTTTGGGGATATGACCTTGGGGGGAATGTGTTGAGGACGGGCGGGTAGCGCAGGGTCATTATGCGCGCCATTCTGAAAACATCGAAAGCACATGACTACTAAATCGACACGTCATTGATTCATCTGCCGCCTGAACCAAGTTTTGAAAAAGGCTAGTAGCGAAGTAGCCTCCGACAAAACATGTAAATTTCGTCCCCCGTTTCGGAGGCTGTTTTTCAACAGATTTTCTTGAAATTTTGTTTCAATGTAGTTGAATAGTTGTATTAGAGCTCTTTTACCTCAAAAGGTTGAAAATTAAAAAAATAATTAGTTTTATCAGTGTCTAAAAGTGACTCAATTTACATTACTTTAAGATTTTTTTATACTTATATTAGTGATTTTCTTGGATATATCATGTATGAGGGCCCTAGAACCAACATTAATCTGTAAGGGAAAAAAGTTTTAACATTATATCTTCTCACATTCAACCCGGAGCAAGGGCATGTTTTTATGTTTTCGCAGGGGTGAAGAAGACTCTTAAGGAAATGTTAGCAGACACATTTGTTGATAACAATTGTTATTAACATTCTGGGAAGATAAAAGAATGTTACCGACTCTTGGTGGGTAACAACATTTTTGTTAGAAACACCGGATTTGTGTTAATAACACGATATGTTGCTGACAAATTACACACATTTTCTAAAAGTTATCAACAAAATGTTATTAAATCCGTAGTTAACATGACTTAGGTGGCAACATGTTAAAAACAAAAGTTACAAGGAAAAAAAATGTAAATAACATTTGTTAGTAACTTTTGTTAATAAAATACGGTAGTTGATAACATTTGTTGATAAATACAGTGTAAACACGGCTTTACATTACAACGTACCTACGTATTTAATAGTAGTTAGGATATTATAACGTTATTAGTCCGGAAAATAGGTGCTTACCATACGAGTAGGTCTACAGTAAACACATTTTCAACGAGTGACGTAGGGTACAATATTTTTTGCCATACTACTCTAAACTCAAAAAATTTTTTCCAAACTGCACACATTTGTTATATATTCCCACCGACTAAAGGACTCAACAATCGTTACTCAACTTCTAAGAGAGGTTGTTTTCGTTTATTGATTCGTTGACTTATTGCCAATTATAATCAGCTGGTGTCCGGTAAAAGCTCATTACAGAACAGTAGTAAGTAATAAAACCCCATTTTATTAAGGAGGCAGCAAACAGCTGTTTTGTGGACTAATTTCATGCGTGGAAAGTCTATAAACAGTATAGTGTGGCGAAAAAATACATTACTCATGATACCGTACCAGTAGGCCTACCTAAAAAGTAAATCATCAAAACTAAAGAATTGAACTGTTCATTCCTGGTAATGAGTTTATAGCAAATGTTACAATTTATAAGTTTAAGTAGGCTTAAAATATTCTAATGCATCATGATTTTTTCAAATTTATAGTTTTTCATTAGTTCTGCTTTTTATGGAAATCATTGGGATATCAAACTAACCATACAGATTTTCTGGAACACCGAACAATGCCTACTGAAAAATATATTTTCTAGTGGGGAATTTTTATTGTAATTGTAATATTTACAACCAGTAAAAAAAACCATTAAAATCATCATTAAATCATCTCTATGTGTGCATTTTGTGAGTAAAACAACAAAATGACCTTAAAGTAAACAATGACACACTATCCAATACAGCTGATGTTATGTGCAAAGCAAGTTACAATTCTCTGGTTGGAAGGTCAACATGATGATAGATGATTCAGGAGGGGTCTAACTAAACTATGCCTACTAATTGGTTAAACGGTTGTGTCTCTTCCTCACTCTACCGTCCCTATCGTATTGATGTGGTTGATGTGACAAAGCCAAATTTACAACATTGTAGTTTAATTTTAGTTTAACCCTCCGAGTGTCCCTTGTTTTGGCCTTAATGTCTGCCTATTTTTTGCTCATTTGCAAGGTTTTATTAAAACGGATCTGAGAAGCTTGAAAACAATGTTAATTATACTGTTCTATATACCATTTTGTTTGGAAAATCATGGGCTTCAATATTATACCTACATAGAACATAAGGAACATTTGTTTCAAAAAAATTGTTTAGGTAAAAAAAAATATTTTGAAAAATTTTCAAAAAAAAATAAGTTCGCGCTCAATGAAATTGTATAAATTATAGGCCTATAAATATTTGTTCTAAATTTTATGAGGATTACAAATATATAGTAATATAAGGAAGTAGATTTGCAAATAAATAAGTTATGGGCAAAAAACAGATTTCAGTACATTGCGCTTAGCTAAGAATGCATAGCCTAACCATAGCTAGGAATCTGGCTGATAATTTACATCAATATCACTACCTACTTCTTCAGGATCATCAACCAGCCCTTCAAAATCACTTAAATCTTCTTATAATGCACCACGTATATCACTACTTTTGATTTTTAACACTAAAACAATGATAAACGTAATAAAACACATCAGTCATCGGTCCGAGGTTAACCGAGCTGTTTACAAATACGCACGTCAGCTGTCTGCTACAATATTTTCGGAACTAAAATGAATAGCGCTTAGAGACAGACCTCCGGAGAAAGCTCTGAATCTGTCAAATAAAACGATACCTAACTCGATCCAGTTCAATCCGATTTTGTCAGTCATAGAGCCTTCGCCGTAAACAGTGTTTGTGAGTCAACAGTGCTGGAGAGTTAAGTAATGTTCAATGTCTCATTGTTTTATTAAATATTATTGTCAAAATTCCCACACTGTTAATGAATTATAAATATTGCTAAATCCCCCCACAAGATGGCTACAATAAAAAGTATGGCCAAAGTATTGTAGACCAAAATTGGCATTAGCCAATTATTACAATAAACAATCGATGCTTAGCTAAACCATGAAGTAAAGGGTTTTAGTTCTTAACTATTTTTAGGTGCAATGAATGAAAAAGACATAGTAGGCCTAACGAATTATATAGGCCTATATAGACATCTCTATATTTTAGCTAAATTTTAAAATCTGAGCTTTATAATGAATTATAAACTTTAACAAGCTGTGCATCAAACATATTTTATTTTTCAAGGATTTGATTTTTAACAGTTACTTTCACACATAGCCTGGTCTAATAATTTTTATAAACTAGGTGAATCTTTGGCTAACAATTTATAACAATACATAGTCCTGTAGACTAACAACTAGATAGGAATCAGCTATTCTCTTCCAAGTTGACAGAGAAACAGCAGCTGACCTTTTAACACCCTTAAACTTTGATTTTTAACATGTTAACAGTTTTACAATTCTGTGGTCCTTTTAATGCCTTTTTCATCGTATCAAAAATCATAATCTCTGACCCTTGATTCTTTGTTAAATTATAACAATGAGTCATAAGTTTTAATTTAAATTTATTTTAAATTTTGAATCATAAAGGGCCTAGCAAAACTCCACCAGTTATAAAGGTGTTTTATAAGAGTTTATCAAAGCAAATGGTATTTTTTGCACGTTTTCTTAAAAGAAAATTGTACCTATAGAAAAGGTTGGAATTTTCTACTAGGTACTCATGCAATTGGTTTAATGCTTCCATGTACAACACTGATTTAAAGTTTTGATAGCATAACAATTATGACTAAGACCCAAATAAACTTGTTTTCTTAGCCATAGTATTCATCAAAAAAAGGGTTTTAAAAAACCATTCTTACATTCCAATTACAAATTTTAAAATCAAATTATTTGAGAACAACTTAGACTATTCACAATGTGCACATTGACTGTTCTCAAAAATCAAACCTCTTTCTCCCTCAGATTCTAAAAAATTCATTGCAAACATCAGTAAGTTAGATTAAGATCTCTGTTCTATGTTAATATGTCATAGGTAGGTACCAATTTTTTTTCTATTTAATTAATTGTCTGTTTCTATAAAAATTGAAAGTTACAGATTAAACATAGACAAAAATAGACTAGCCTAATTAATATGAATTGTTGATACATGACACACTTAGGCTACTTAAGTTAGGCTACTGACGACATGATAACTTATACAAGCTACTAAGTAAATATAATGTTAGGCAACAATTCAGAACATTCATCAACTATTAGCCTATGTTGAGGAAATATAAATATAGAACTAAGTTAACAATATAGCTAATACCGGTATAGCCAACAGTTACAATTTCAGAACTTAAGTTAATTGGCAAATGAATAGCCTAGGTACCAATTTAAAGTTAAATTTACCTTTATAGAAATAGCTTAGTCAAGGACTATTAGGACTTGGTTACGATACGAGCAGTGAGTGACAGGGACGGCACAGCTTTGACATCGGTCCAACCTTAATCTAGGCCTACTTGAAATTGAATTGGTGGCTACAGTAGGCTACGTCTGAGTGGCAAATAACAGGCGAAGGGCAGCGGTACCGGTACCAAGACAAATTAATAAAACCTAACCGTTTATGACTACCGGTACCGTACCGGTAATGCAAACATTGGTTTTAGTCGTTCAGCTGTTCTTTGCATTGGATGACTTCAGATTTGTCCAATAAAGTATCAAGGCCTTAAAATCAACAATACTGTGGTTGGCCTACAGCTCTTTAGAGCACTTGTATGAATGGCATGATTTTACAACTGATTGTAACAATGTTAGTTACTGAAATTGGGTGGATTTGGTTTCCCTTATGTTTAAAAGGTTAACATTGGTTGGGTTTGAGGTGACGTACAAGTTAATGTAGGTAGCCTACATGGGACAAACCAAAATTGTCTACATAGTCTAATCATTATGTCACCCCAGACATGATGGAGGCTTTACTGAGGATTTTCAGACTAATTATTTAGGCCTACTGGTGGCAGCAAGTCTAGGCCCTAACTTACCCGTACTAAAAAACTTTCAAAAATTTAAATTTCCGGTAACAAACCGAAAAAACCTTTAATATTCCATTTCACCGATCTAGGATAGGCTTACCATTTGAGTTGATACTCTGCATTAGACAAAACAAAGGCTAACCCTATATTTACCCATAATTTCATCCTTGATAAAGCCTAAATTAGAGGGTAGCCTAGGCCTATAACTTAGGCTAACTTATTAGCCTAGTTTCAATTTGTTCCTAGGGGATCGTACACATCAGTATCATACACCAACCAAACCAAGGATCTATCACTCAAGATGTAGGCTAATGTAAGTTAGCAATCCGCCCTGACCTTAAAGAAATATTAGGCATAACTTAGGGCCCTAAGTTATTAGCCTAGACCTATATGAAAAATAACTTCAAAATTGCAGGTTTGCTAACAAAGATTGAAATGAGAAACAAATATGGCATGTAGGCCTATCATTCAACTATTAAACTTCGCCTATACTAGGTTTTATTTTATGTTGATTGTAGCCTACATTTAGAGGTTAGAATCTTGATTCAGGGTATCTTCATTTTTTGATAATGAACCATTTAAACAAATGGAATAAAGATAAAAAGCATCAACGTAGATTAAAGAGGCATTTAAGTCTAACCAGCAAATTATTTTCACTAGCAGTTTCTAAGTACAATTATATTTAACCTAAAAATAAGGTGGAGCATAAGCCATAATGACAGTTGAATGTATGTTAAGCCTATTTTAAAAACTACAAAATAGTTTTAAGACCCATGTTGTTATGGTTTGCTGTATCAGAATCTTTTGATAAACGAACGAATAAGTGAGAAGTGTATAAAGTAAAACTTATTACCAACTATTAGGCTACAACTTACCACTGTCTCCTATTATTAACAGTTTGAACAGATGGTCGTATTCTCTTGCCATGACTAACAATTACTACACAGATTTATCTCTAAGCGGGCCAAATTTAAGAACACATTATTTAAACTATTCAATTTTTATGAAATTCTGTTATGTTATGATTCACCAAGATATCGGACATTATTCCACAAAATGCATGATGAGTGAAGTATAATTTTAATTATCATAAAATCAGTCTTCCCCTCATTATTAAATATTTCCTGTTCACTATAAGTTATTACAAATTTACATTAATTATGAACCTTATACGTTTTATATTAAATATTCAGATAGTCCACAATTTTATGTAATTGAAAACAATATACTATAATCACCCCTTTCAACTTTAACAGTTCAACAAAATAATTGCAATTTTCTGCAATTGCATTGCAACCAACTGTGACGAATATGACTAAGAAGCTAGTAGCATAGAGTATGAACACTATTATATAAAAAAGTTGTTGTATACATATAAAAGAGTTTGATATATGAAAGTTTTAAATTGACATCCCACAGTATATACATAAATAAATGGATTAATAAAAGTATCTATTATGCACATTAAAATGTAGTAAAATGAATTAGTAACGTCTTTAATCAACTATTTGCGGCCGATTTACCGAATAGGCAGGGTGGGTAGGCAAGTGCCTGGGGCGCGAGGCAATTGGTTTTTGGGGGGCGCCAAAAAATTAGGAAATAAATAAAATGGTGGTTGTATTTGCATGCGATCGCGGTAAACTTTTGGTAATCCTTCGCTGCCGTGTGGACATTGTAATCGTCTCCCGCAATTGCGGAAAAAGTTAATGATATCCTTCAGTATGAAGATTATTACAGTCTTCCGAGATGGCGGCAAAATTCTGAATGTTTTCCCGCGGTCGTGTAGACATTATCATCGTCTTCTGCGGTCGGGGCCAAATTATGACTGTTTCCTGTGGTCGTGAAGACATTATATCATCGTCTTCTGCGATCAGAGCCAAATTCTATGATCATCCCTTGAGGCTGTGAAGACATTATTACAACGTCTCTGGCGGTATTATGGACATAATAATCGTCTCCCGCGATTGTCTCAAATTGGTAATCATCTGCCGTGGTCGTGTGGAAATCATCATCGTCTACGGCAATTGCGGCAAAATTCTGACTGTTTCCCGCGGTCGTGTAGACATTATGATCGTCTTCTGCGATCGGGGCAAAATTCTGATCATCCCTTGGGGCTGTGAAGACATTATTACAACGTCTCCCGTGGTCATGTAGTAGACATAATAATCGTCTCCCGTGATTACGTCAAAATGGTAATCATCTCCCGTGCTCGTGATGAGATCATCATCGTCTTCCGTGACTGAGTCGATATTCTGACATCATTTATATCTATATATTTTCCAGCTGCCCAAGAAGCAAAAATCGTTAGCAAAATTAATCGTTGGCCCAACGTTTTTGTCAATCGTTGGCCAACGGTATGTTTTGGCACTCAGTCTTACGGTTGGCCAACCAACCAATTTTTGAGGAAGGGCCAACCATCCCATTGGGCCTAAACATAAAAACACAAAATAATAAAGATTTTGTATGAAAAGCATATGAGTTGAGTAAATTGATTAAATAGTTCATAAAAACTTATTTTGGAAAAAAACGAGATAAAATTATTTGGCCGGAACGGGTCTCGAACCCTGTACCTTCGCCTTGTGAGCCTCACGCCTTACCTCTGAGCTAACTGTGCTTGTTGATATGAGTGTTTTCAAGTGGTAAAAGAGTAGCCGACAGGTGCAATGGTCACAATACTTAAAATATTTTTGATGCTACAGTATATGATTCTGTTAAGGCCTGGTTCCACAGGATGCGGAATCTCCGCCGTGCGGTGCGATTTTTTCCGCTGCGGAATTAAAACGACACTGGTTTAATGGAGTTCCCATGTATGCGGTTCCACTGACTTGCGATTCCGCATCCCGAAATTTCCGTTCCGCATGGCGGAGAAATCATACTGGTCTGAGAGCAGTAGCAGTGCGGATTCCGCCAGCGGAGAAGACTCATCAAATATTGTGACCGTGCAGTTTCATTATGTCTTATGCTGTAAAAAGAGTTATAGATGAACAATTATAAAATAACACCTATAATCGCAACACCGATTTTCAACAAACTTACTGTTAAAATATATTGTTATAATACATTTGACATAAACTGTCGAAAATGGTAGACCTGACGAACAATCCTGAGATGTTTGGGTATCAAGTGTTAAACGGGATCTCGTGATTGAAACGCCTTAAGTTTTGTTAAATAAATAGCAAAAATAGGCCCCTTCACTGTCTCGATTCTTAAATATGTCACTTCGATCACTGTGACTTGACACTAACAAAGATAAAAGATCAACAACATCATCATCAATGTCATCATATAGCATCAAAGCCTAAAGGGCTTTCCTCTTTCTATCCATACTCGTCGCTAGTTTGGACAGAACTGAATCTCCGCAACGTTATTTTCGCAGTCTGTAGAACCACCCCTCTAGATTTTTCGCTGCGTAATTTTCCGCCGCGAAAAATTACGCACCGCATGGCGGAGATTCCGCATCCTGTGGAACCATAGCTTAAATCTGTTTAGGCCTCGAGTAGTTGAATTGTTTTTCTGGTATTTGGAGAGGATACTAGTATTTGAATATAGATTATTTAATTACCATTAGATTAGTAGGCTACTGTTATAATTGATTGTTATATATAATTAATTAATATTTCCCCTATACTATTAAAAATTTGCTTAAATAAGTTAAAGAATATTGTTTTAAAAAAATGAATTATAATAATTATTATATGTTAAGCAGGTGTTCCCCACTGTATCTAGTATCACAACATCATCTGCTGACTACATTTATTATAGATCCAAATTTTTACAATATTTATCTTATATTCTGATGCCATAACATGTATGTACTTTTAAATAAATCAATTCGTTAAAATTTGTTTTAGAATGTTTTATACTTAAACCCAACGAAGGCCCAACGATTCTTTTTCTTTGTAGGGCCAACGAATACCAGTTTCTGTTGGGCCAACGTTGGCAAATCGTTAAAATTTCTGCCAACCATTTCCCAACCGTGCCGACGATTTCCCAACGTTGGGCCAACGATGTGTGCTACTTGGGTTTCGTGTGGACATTATCATCGTCTTGCGCAATCACGGTATAATTCTGATCATCCATCGCGGCCGTGAACAAATATTCTCGCTTTAAAATTATAGATGGTAGACTGTTTAAACTTATTTGGAATAATGTAAAATGAGGAGAAAACCCCACTACTACTCCTTGGAAACTGTGTGTCACGAAAGAAAACAGAGCAGACGTATATTAAAGCAAAACCATGATGATCCTACAGCCGGACATTTAGGCATAGCAAAAACATTTGATAGAATCAGAATCGGCCGCAATTATTATTGGCCAGGTATGTTCAGAGAAATTGCATTGTACGTTAGGAATTGTTCCTCGTGTCAAGATTTTAAGTACCCTAACAAAAAGATTTTAGGGGAAATGCAATTTAGAAATTCACAAAATCCCTGGTACTGTGCATGTGAGTACAGATTTAGTGGTTCCCTTTCCTAGATCAACAAAAGGTACCTAATAAGTATCTCCTCATGTTTCAAGATACGTTCACTAAGTGGGTGGAGTGCGCAGACATCAGGGCAATAAATAGGAAGGCGTATTTTTATTTACTTTCCGTAACATTGGATACAAAAGGATACCGGGGAACAGAGCTTTGCTCGAGGGAATATCATTAGTTGGACTGCTCCGAACTCCTGATCATGAGGTACCAGATCCAGAGTGCTGTATTTGGTAGGTTTGAGGCAACAACAGCAGCGGCTTTACTTGACTTTAGCGGGTGGAGAGACTGCAGCGTCTGTCGACTTCTCTGGCTGTCTGACGACAGTTTAGCTCCTTCAACCAGCTATATCAGTAGTATTAGTAGTTCCTAAAACATTCACTCTGTTCCTCTTGATTTTTTGTATAATAATTGCTGATTCAGATTTTATATTGTTATGAGATGTTTTGCTTTTTGTATTTTTTGTCATTGATTTCTATATCATCATAGAGTCTGATTTGTTATTTCAGCTTAATTAATATGTTATTAATGTTTTGTTAAACGTCAACTGTTAATTGTTGTATTTTTTTCTGAAATATTTTTTGTCAACTGGCATGTACCGTTTGGAAGAATAAAGAAATGTGTATGCTCTGGAACTATTATTTTGTACAATGTTATTAAACCATATTCTTAAATAAGCTTTGCTCGGGGAATATAATTTATTAGTATAATTTATACTCTGGGAGCAGCTAGTCTTGCAATTGTAATTGACTTTATGTAAGCAGCAGTTACGATTTTGTGTACGTTATACATTTCGTTTAATCCATTTATAAAAATAGTAGGTAAATGATAAAAAATGTTTGGCACAGTAATAGCAATAGTTAAACATGCCATGAGACCCTTTTGGAGCTTATTCTAAAATACAAATACAATACAACGCAAAGTTTAAGTGCCAAAGACGGGTCAGTGGTGTACAAAGTGCAGCACATAAAGGTCATTGGACCTTAAATAACCCCAATGATTTCATCATTGAGCCTTAATTTGGTTGTTAAAAATGAAATAAAATGAAATGAAAATCTTTCTTTGAGGTGAACTTAGGACCTCATGGTCCTTTCTTACAGTTAACCTCTAAAAAACTAATGATAACAACAAAATATTAACAAAAAAGCGTTAAGTTAAGTTAAGTAATTGTTAAGTTGTTTAAAGCGTTTAAAGAAAGTTCCAATAACATGTATTCAACAGTTTTACAATTATGTAAATAATGTTTCCGTATTAAATAAATATATATGAACAGTACTTCTGACAGGTGATTTGATTTCCAAAATATTTTTGACCCTCAAAACAAAATAGTTTGCAATTTAAATTGTGTTTTTGACAAGTTAAAGCTATGACAAATGTTGTCTTCGCAACGTAACGTTTAAACTACTTAACGTACAATCCTATCTAGTTATAGTTGATAGGCTACAATTTGATGGAGGATGTAAAATCTATTATTGGCTCAACCAAATTGTCCAGAGACGAAATAAGTAGACATGGAGAGCAACTTAACCTTGCTAATATTTGGTAGGAGATCAGTGGTTGCGCGCAGAAAATTAGAGTCTTTGTTTATTGTGTTGGTAGTCGACAATGGTGAGCTCGGTCCCCAGCGTAGTGGCTGTTGTGATACAATGTGCTCTATGTTGTCGAAGTGCAGGCCCCGAACTCTATCGGTCGAATAAGGCAACAAAGATTGTGTCGGTAATGACGATTCTATACGAATAAACCCAGATTATTTGGGCATATTTAAGAAAAATAATATCACCAAGTCGTGTAGAA